GTAGATTTAAGCACGTGTGGCCAAGGGCGCGGTTGATTTGCCGTTTTCGGGCCATTTTCTGTTTTCAAAAACGCGTTTGGTCCGTCATTTTCAAAGACGCATTTTCGAAAACGAGTTAAAATTTATAACTGAAAGCGCAAAACGACTTTTTATCATTTTGAGCATTTTCAGTTATAAATTGCCCGTTTTCGGGGAAAACTAAAAATCATTTTGAAAATGAAAATGGAATCCAACCGCTACCTAAGCTTTTAAGCAGATGCTTCTTGGCTGATTTAGGCAGTAAGTGAGCCAAAACGAGATGGCAAAAAGGCTTAGCCAAACATGCTCTTATTTCATTTTGGTGTGTGTAGTAATATAAACAAATAAAATATAAGAAGAAGAGGAGAAACCTCTCAGCGAGCCTGTTTTTGAAAGTCTGGCGATAAACACGGTTCCAACGAAGAGCTTGAGTGAAAATCCAGTAAAGACCGAACCACAGTTCGGCTCCAAACATTCCAATCCATACGAGTTTTCCACCATCTGTAAATCCTGCAATATGAGTTGCTCTGTAAACCCAAATGAAAATGATTCCAACAAAGTTTGAGACTGCAAAGAGCTTGTAAATTAAGCTGCCCTTTGCTTTCTTGGTTTCAAACAGTGGAAAATGACTATCATTTATCATCACCATGATTTTCCCAGCCTTTTTTTTTTTGGTTTTTCAGATCATGTATGTACAATATAGCAGGGCCGCTGCCATATATTGACTGAATTAATGAATTATTAATTCAGTCAATCTATTGTCTGATAATTTAAAATAGCAATTTTACACGCTACGCTTCCAATTATCTTATCTTTTATGCAGACGGGAGCAGTTGGCTGTATATAGAAGACATTTTCAAAACTTGCAAGTGGTCCTTTACACCTTTGGCATAATCTTGATAGATTTGAATGCTGCGCCTGCACAAAGTCTTGAAGAGTAACATTTTTTATTACTGTGTCAGTGGGAAAACCCAAACAATGATCGTAAAATCAGCAAGTGGGACATTATTACTTTGGCCCTGTCTGTCGTGCCCCCGCCCCCCCCCCGCCCACCAAATTGTCTGGGTGGTCTGTGCGAACCAACATGGCACTATCCGTGTAGCAGGGCTCTTTATCAAATGATAAAATTTGATCGCCAAGTATGAAAATGGAAGCAGATTTGGAGTAGGCCTGGATATTGGGTAAGTCGGTTCAGGTATTTCGTAAATAAAACTATTCGGGTCTTTGTAAATACTATAACCAAATCCAAACCTAAATCGTCAGTTCCGGTTCGATTTCAGATCTACCCATAGCATTTTATATACATTTATTTAATAAATATTTTACATAGAATTTTTTGGTACATATACCTAATACGTTGCTACTCGAAAATGTTTGTGGTGTGAAGAAAATTTAATTAAAAAATTTTCAAGGAGCAAACTATTGAATACTAGAAGCCACGAAAAATAAGAGAAAATAAAATAAAGATCAAAAATGAAATTATACCTTGAAAAAAAATATTTTTTTTTCTTCATAAATCTTATTCAATCTATAAGAGAAGCATACTAGACATATAATTTAATTATGAACAATACTTAAATTCTTCTAATTTTTAAACGAATTGATATAAAAATATTAATTAAATATATAATTAATATAGTATAAAAAAATTTACAGTTCACATAA